ATTCAGACGATGGGCTTAAAGGTAGTGTGCCAGCTTTCCTGGACCGTATGGAGTTAATGGCCCAGATAAGGAGAACCGGATTTTTAGAACTTATCCATACCTTCAAAACTCATGGAAACGTCTTCAATTCTTCAAATTTTGAGTACCCCAGTGCGAAATTCGCCCCGACGGGTTGTCGGTCGTACCCCAACACATTTCACACCACTATGAACAATAAATGCACACACTGAAGTCGCTATTACCGATATGCTCATCCAATCAAGTTTCGATAAACCCGTTCATCATCAGCTCCTGCGGTTTCGAACACGCCTGTTAGGTGGTGCGGTAGACCGCGCCCAAAGCCAGGGCCCCGGTAACGTGAGGTAGCCGAGTCAGGGCAGCGTGCGCTGACCGAAGCCGGAGCCGCGCGTCCTCCCGGTGTCATGTGATAGCCCGGGGCTGCCCGCGGGGATACGGTAGACCGCGCCCAAAGCTGCGGCCCCGGCTTGGGTCAGCGCACGCTGCCCCGACTCGGCTACCTCACGTTACCGGGGCCCTGGCTTTGGGCGCGGCTTCTGCTCATACTTTGTGGTGCGGTGGTGGTGCGTCGGGCTGCGCGCTCTGACTTCGGCCAAGAAAAATGCGTCAGCTGATCATTGTCATTTCTGCCACTTGCGTGTGGTGAAATGGGGTCATAACTTATGAGACGGCTTTTTCATATCAATTATTTTACATAAAATCATATTTCAAACCATAAATAATGTTCGACAGCCAAATAAAAGAAACAATACCAATACAGGCTTACAGTTTAAGGCTCGACATTGTGTTGTCTACGACTAGACAGCTGATAACTCATTCCCGTACGTCGTATGGTCGTGACACTATAATGACCTTTGCTTATTGTCACATGTGCACCGCATTCGCGATTGTTGCCGACGCCTGTTTGCAGGTGAGCCCACTACAGTTGTTATACATATCTAAAAACCGATAAACTTTTAGGCGAAAAAGGCACTATTCCAGGCCCATTTTTGATTTTTTTTGCGATATTAGGTAAAAACAGAAGCTTCTTATCCTAGGAAAAATAAAATGGGAAATCTTTCAAAGGTGGCACACTACCTTTAACTTGACTCGAATCCGACTCCGACTTCACCGGAAGGGGGTTCCACGTCAACCGATAATAATGGCCATTTTACCTCAACCCCTCCGATTTCTACCAAAGACGGACAACTCAGAAGCAAAAAATAGATTATTCTTGTGCAAATGTGACGCCATGCATCCCAGAAACACATCACAAAACATTGGCTTTTAGCGAAGTACCTGCCAGCTCTAAAAGCTCCATACCAATTTGGAAGCTCGCAGTTTTGCCCTTGACGTGACCTTGACGTGACCTACATCACATGGACAGAAAGCTTTGTGCTTCAAATATCCGTCATAATGAGAGTTTTTGAGTGCCACTGCCGCGTTTGCCGTCTTTCTACCACCATCGGCTCTAAAGTCTAAAATTAGACGGGGGGGGGGGGTGCAGAGTCTGCCACCCCCCCGTTCGGGGCGCGTTTGACTTAACCCGCGCCCAGCCGGCGCGGGTTAACCCGCGACCGCCTGGGGGGGGGGGTCGGATCCGACCCCCCTCCGTTTTTCTTGAATAACTCATGAACCGCTTGAGCTATCAACTTGAAACTTCGCATACCTTCTCCCCCATCAATTTGACGTCTCCTGTGCAATTTTTAAGAAAAAATTTTCAAATTTTTTTGAGATATATTGATTTTAGTGATGTAACTACATGGCGTTTTCAGTCAAAAAATGGTAAATGTTTAAAAAATCGCCAAAAATCGAGGTTTTAGGCAAATTGCAAATTAAGGACATGAAAAGACGCAACTTAACGAGTTCTTTAAAATGGCTATCTCGGATTTTCGATAAAATGCGTTTTTCACCCCTAAAAATTCAAAAAACTATATTTTTTGGAAAACAGCTAATAAAATCCAAAATTTTGAGAATTTCCAAAAACCGGAATATATGTTATAGAGCTCTATTAGAACATTAGATGTCCCAAATTTCAACTTTCTATCTTGGTTTTTGACCCCCAAATTGTAAAAAATAGCTCCAACATGCATAGGGCATGGTGACGTCATAAGCATTTTCGCGAATTAGAGGCACTTCTGAACATTGCATGTGAAAACAAATGGCACCACTAGATTCCTGGGACAAAGCTCGTCTAGAAAAGTGCATTTTTATGTCAAAAATTAAAAGTTGAAAAATTGACTTTTTTTTCTTAGCCCTCGTTTAAATATGTATGGTATAAACGATTTTTTATGCTTTCAATGCACACTTATCACCAGCACAGTGACTTGGGGTCACATATAACCATTGCCATCGGATTTGGCGTGAAAAATAAGCCATAAAAGATGTGTCGCACGCCCATGTAGCAGAAAGTGAAAACCGTGACCTTTCGTGACCTGACCTGACCTTGACCCGTACTTAGTATGACCCCTTTACGCACATGGTACCTTCACTAGGTCTTTGAGGTCATTTGTGGTGAGTTTCGAGCAGCAGCTATCGATTCCGCTGTCCGTAAGCCTAATCATGCAAAACCCCTGAATTTGACCTTTGACCTGACCTTGACCCGGAAGTTGACCTCAATCTTAAAATCTTAAGAGTGCTTTGGGAAGGTCTCGTAGAGACCTTTCGAACGCCGCCTCGCGGGGCTCGATACGACCATTGGTTCTCGAGATAACAGGGGGGGGGGGGGTCGGATCCGACCCCCCCCCCCAGGCTGATGTGGGTACGGAAATAGCCCAGGCGGTGCCGGGTTAATGGGTCTCCACAATGCCCAGAACAATCGCTCTATAAACGCACTTGCGCCACCTGTGCTCCCATCTGCGATGTGTGTTTTTGTGTGATAAAAGACGCCACAATAGTCCGAGGCAGGGTCATGGCTTCTTAACCAGGTTGTGTGTACCGGGAAATAAGCGTTTCTAGAATATTGGCGGAATATGTTGACCTTAAAGGAAATAGTTCACTTTTTAACATGGGTTTTGAACTGGAATAGCAGTTCCGTAGCCTGGGCTGAGACGAGCATAAATCAGGAGCTTTTACAGCCCAACGATCACCCTAGGCAAAGATATTCTATTTCTCGTCCCGAAAAAGGTGTCTTGCGTTGAGGATGTGTGCCTTGCATATATTCGCATCCAGTATGAAAAGAGCATGGGTACCGAAAATTCTTCAGAAACTAGAGAAATTATCTACGAGAACTCTAGAGAAATTCTCGTACTGATCAATAAGGACATTCAGCAGCAGCAGATCACCCAAATGCCGGTGGCCGCGATAATTTCTCTAGTTTCTGAAGAATTTTCGGGACCCATGCTCTTTTCATACTGGATCGCCTGTGCCTTACAGAAACTGAAAAGTCCTTCCTATATCAAAATATAGAAAATAATCTTTTGCTTTAAATAGGTTTTATTTTCTTTGCTGATCATTTTGAACATAAAAAATCATAAATCCATTGCAAAAAAAATAATTTCGTGAAAGTGAACTGTTTCCTTTAATTCTTACATATAGTGACTTAGCCGACAGATAATTCAGCAAGGGCTCAGTGAGATCGCTGTCCCTCCCCGACATTGTATGTGATTTAATTGAACTAGCGTTGAATTGAGCGTTCAATTGCACCCAGGACCCCACTTCCGAGCTCTGAGATCATCTTTATAGGCCATGAAAGGTAAACAGCAGTTTTTAGAAAAAATATTGATAGATAAATTTTAGAGCGATAAAAGTGTATCGAAAATGTTCAGACCAACCATACGATGAAATGACTCGAAACATAGGTAACCTGTTTTGGTCAGGTCGTGACCTTGACCTTGTAAGTTTTCCAAGAAAACGGTCACTGTCATCTTAAATTAGACGCGTCTTAACAAGGGAAAGCTACAGAAAAATAGCACACAATGACTGAACGAAAATTGTTTAACCCTATTAGTGGCAGGCTCCTGGCTACCCCTATTAGAGGCAGGGGGGGGGGGCTGTTTACGACCCCCCCCCCCCTTGATATCTCGAGATTTAACGGGCCGATTTTCAAAATTCAAACGGCATTCGATTTCGCTCAACGTGATCTACATTTCTAAAAAATAAAAATTAAAAAATGTCAATAGGGGGGTAGAGGGGATAAAAACGGGCAGATTGCAGATACATTTTAGACTGTTTATCACGGCCAGGTTTCTGAACCAATCTTAACGCAACTTTTGCCGATCGATAGAGAATGAACCAGGAATTCACATGGATCCTAAAAATATGCATTTTCAAAAATCATAGGCGGATACAGATCATTGAGATTGGGGGTACACAAAAAGTATAGTAAATAAGGTTTTTGTTGGTACTGTTTCTAAAAAGGGTGGTAATGGTCTTGTTATGTTACAATTTTCTTATGAGAGAACGACTAAAATTGTATTGGTCATGCATAGGCGGTGTCAGGGCACCTATGTTGGGAGGTAAAACATAACCCCCCTTTTTGGACGCCTGGATCCGCCTATTATAGCAAAAACGTGTCAAAAGAGGATGCACAATAACTTTGTATATGTTATCACATGATACCTTTCATTCACTGTTCGTAAAACTGGTGCATACAGTTATAATACATCAGCATCGTGATCTTCGCCCAAATGACTCGCTTCACGAATAGGACCCCCCAATTCCCAGTGCTCTGGAGCCGCCCCTGATAAAGTTATGAACTTGAAATTTTCAGGGAATGTGCCCAATTTAGTTTTAGGAAAAGTCAGAAAATTTCAGCATTGTAGCTTCAGCGGTTTCGGAGATATTCCCGAAAAACCTGAGGGGTGGATGAAAACAACCCCCCTGCCACTAATAGGGTTAAAAGCTTCATTTAAATCTGGAATCTCATTTGCCTAGCTCCATAAAAAAATCTAGCAACCACAGCTCACAGCTCGGACGTCTTTCGGTCAGCCCCATATCACACATGCCACTCAAATATAGGCTTCCGAGACTAAATCAGCTATTTTGATCTGAGATCCACGCCTTCAGGGAGCGGCAGCCGGCGCTGCTCGTCGCGCCGCGTGATACACCACTCCACGTACGGCCATGGCCAAGCAGAGGAGCACGGTGACGCCTCCCAGCCCTGTGGCCAGCACCGGGAAGCCCCAGCGGTCCGTCACCAGCCCGCCGCCCATCGGACCGGTCATACTACCGAACGAGTAGGCGGCGCCGCACAGAGACGTCACCAGCGCCTGGGCGCGCACGTCGCTCTGCAGACCTCGCGCAGTGGAGAGTCGCACCGCCAGCGGCAGCAGCGGGACATAGGCACCCATCTGAAACACCTCGCGCAGCGTCATCCCCACGCCGAGCAGCAGACGGGACGGCTGGAGACCGAGCAGCGGCGACGGAGGGATGAGCAGAATACCCAGTGCGGTCGGCGCCAAACAGCAGGCTTCAAACAGGAACGTATTGTCGATGTAATCCGAGAGTCGGCCCCACAGCGGGCTGGAGAGCGTATAGCCGGCAAATGAGCCCAGAAAGAAGAGACTCAGCTCGTCAGGCTGCATGTCGAGCGTGTGCAGCGTGTAGGGCTCAATGTTCAAATCAACTGCAGTCCAATTCAGCCCATTGAGAAAGAGGGCCGTGAAAATGAACCAGGTGTCCGCGCTAGAGAGCACCAAACGGAGTCTGTCGCGAAGATGCGACACTTCACCCTCCTCTTCCACTTGCTCGACCGAGTGGTCTGTCACCGTCGGCATCAGGAGCAGGCTGGCGGCGGCGTTCCCCATAAGCAGGGCACCAAGCACGTAGAACGGCGCCCCGTAGCCGCCAGCCGAGTACAGCACGCCGCCGATCGCCGGTCCCAGGCACAGACCCCCTCCGTACATACCCTCCACCAGGCTGACGGCCAAGTTGATCCGCTGCGGGAACTGGTTGATGATGATGGTTCGCCCCGTCGTCAGTACAGCGGCTGTGCCGACGGCTTCGGCGACGCGCATCGCCAGACTCCACCCCAGAAACGCTTCCGGCCGCTCCACGTAGACGAGCAGGCCAAACACCACCGTGGTGACGCTGGCCAACAGCAGACCGAGTCGGTAGAGCCGTGTCACATCGAACCGCGACGCCAGCCAGCCCATGGCCCAAAATCCTAACGAGAGCGTGAGCGCGAAACAGCTGTAAACAGAGCCCGATGAGGCATTGCTCAAGCCGCGCCGATGCGCTTCGTGCGTGAAGAACGGTACCTGAATGTACGCGCAGCTGCCGGCGAGCAGACTGCTGCCGGAGACACACACCAGCAGTCCCACCTGACGCCAGGTGAGCGGTGTCGCTGCGCTGTCTGGAGGTTCTTCCTCAGTGGCCGATAGAGGTCTGTCGGCAGCGCAGTGGATCTCTCCAATGTTCAGCGAAAGGTCTTCGGATTCCGAGGTAGGTTTGACCTTGGAGTAGGTTTTTACTCTCTGCTGGGATGATAACTCGAGAAGAGGCGACTTCTCCCCGTCCGTGGTCCAACTCTTTATGACATTTTCGGAATCTTGAGAAGCGCTCATAGTCCTCGAACGGCGTTGTGCTGATAACCTCTTTGCGCAGCAGAACCAAAACTGGCGGAGGCGGCGGGCACACTGCTCATTATTCTGACTTTTCGCCGGATCCGGCACCGCGCTCAGCCGCAAGTGGCACCACATATGGCTGAGTCCGGCAGCTGCTGGGGTTTTCTCCATCCGTCACTTGCTGGGGGAAGGGTTAAAAGGCAAAAGCCCCCCCCCCCAGCCGATAATTCGAGAACCAAAAGCGCAGCGAAACACGCGAGGCGGCAAACGCAAGAACGCGACGAGACACTTTTGATGGTTACTTTGAAGTTGGAGTTCGAGGTCACAGGTCGGTTCAGGGTCAGGTCATGCACCTGAACTTTGGCTTTCGGCGTACTGGGCGCCTCTCGTCATAAACTGTCAAGATTGCTCGCAATTCTTCAGCTTAGCAGGGCCTCGTCTAACATGTTAACTGTGGGGGGGGGGCAAATCCCCGCAGTCACCGGCCTAGCCCCCCCCCCCAGTCAGGGTAAAAATGTCACTACTGGGGGGGGGGGGGGGGGGCGGGCGGCAAAAGCGAAAAGGCAAACGAATTTTTACTGCAAGGCGTCAGTGCACATAAAACAAATGCATAAACGAAACATGGATGCAATGTGAGCACAGTGTTAGGTAGGTTATCAGGTACCTATTGGTATCAGGTACCTGATTAGGTACCTCTGACTGTTTTCACGTGTTTATTTTGTTTATCTGATGCCATTTTTTTTTTCGCACAGCAATACGTTACATTTCGGGTTTTTAGGTGACCTAACTCCGAATCCCGCTTATCCTTCACGTATCAGTCTGTTGTTTCTGTCCTCGGGGCGTCAAGCTGTTGTTTCTACCTATCGTCGTCCTCACTACCCGACGTCGAACTTCTGGCTGGACGGTCACCGGTACACCGTCTTCATGCTTACTGAGCATGAAGCATGAAGACATCATCTGTAATCAAAACTAACATGATATTCGTGATCAGCCCCCCGAAAAACCTCATGGCAGCCGCGTTTTACGACGTTTAAGCAGGTCCCGATTCTCCCGACTTTTGGGTCATTGACTTGACCTGCAAGGTCAACCAATGACCTAGGACCTTAACCCTCGCCGGCCGAGGGGGGGGGGGCGGGTGCCGCCCCCCCATAGGGTTTTTTTCGCGATAGCTCCGAACACGCTGGCGATAGAGAGCTGAAACTTGGCATACCTGATCTTTGATCCAAGCCGCATCTTTTGACACCAACCGCATTTTTGGGTCAGGTCAGGTCACTGACCTATGACGTCATAAGTGAACCTCTGCACGGTCTTCAGATGTCGCAACTTCGCAACGCCCTCACTGCCAGAGGAGATGTCACAGGGAAATGAAACTTGCAGGATCTAGTATCCATTATGAGTGTCACAACTTCTATATCTCGGATTTTTCCTAAAGGTCATATGAGGTCAGGTCATTTTCGTGACCTCACCGTTATAAGCCAATGGGGAAAAATTCAAACTGCCATCTGGCGCCGGGAGCGATCTCCAACTATCTCAAGCACACAGAATCGTGATTTGATGCACTCCTTGCAAGGTTAGATGTGTCACTTTTGCAATGTTTCCGTGACGTCATTTATGACGTCATCAAGGTCATATTAGTTTTTCGTTAATAACTCCCGATCAAATTGAGCTAGCGAGTCGGGAAAGCCACCAATGGACTCAGGAAGACCTGCCGAATCGAATGATATGCGACATGACCTCTTTCGACCAACTTCGTGACCTGGGGGTGCTGACCTGACCTTGACCTGAGGTCAACACCCTAAGTTGACCTGACCCGAACAAAAAGTATATCATTCGACGCGCCTGAGCAAGGCGAACACGATGCTGCCAAAATCGCGGCTCTGCGGCCGTTTTTTGCGAAGTTATTCACCAAAAACTGAACCGTACCCTGGGGCACTTGACCTGACCTCAGAGGTCACCGGTTGACCTAGGACCTTAAAATCGGGTACCAATCTCTGCGTCTCGTAACGGCGCACACGCTCGTTTTTTCCGCGACGCGCTAGCTCCACCAGGGGCGAAACGGCGAGGGGGGGGGGGTCGTACCCCCCCCCCCCCCTCGGCCGGCGCGTATGTAGAAAACCAATAGGTCCGGCGAGGGTTAAAGGGACCCTCCCACCTTCAAAAAAGTTAAAGAATTGGCATGAAAGTGATGTCGCTCTACATATTTGCAGATCTATACACTTAGCAGATGGCAACAGGTTGCGCACACATACTGTCGCGCGGCATACACTATCGATCGTCTTCCATTTTTACATCATCCCGTTTTACATATTATCGTTTATCGTTCATCATTTTTGTAACTTGCGATAAGTGGATGAGCGATAATTTTGAAAATTTAGTGATAAACGATAACGATAACCGATTTTCTTAACAGCGATAATAATCGTTTATCGTTTATCGCTCATCCTATCGCATTCGGAAACCACTGGAAAAGACATGCCGAAATCGAAATGTGAGTACCTATTCGAGTCGTTATTAAGGTAGGTACTTTATACATATGAAGCCACAAAAACGTTATTGGCCACTTTCATTTGCCCTTATGACGTCAAAGGAAGGTAGAAATGTCAAATTGCACCGATGTACTTTGGCAAACATTTTACTGCGTAAAAGTGACTTTTATCACGTATGCAGAAGAAGCTCTAACGGTCATATTAAGTCAGGAGGAGATGGATATTGGATATGTATCATAGATAATGCTCTCAACTAATTTGAAGATACCTACAAATGCTAAGAGTGCCTACTGTGTCTGTGACGTCATAAGAAAATGGTTATATTTCTGGTAGATTTGGAGATATTATAATGAAATTTGACATGCATGAACTGAAGGCAGTAATTGGTGGTTTCTGACACTAAAACCCCAGCAGTTCAGGTTCGTTGACCTGACATCTGATCTCAGGTCACTACTAGGTAATCAATTTTTTAGTTCATATGTTACAAAATTGTGCTTGCAATTTGTCTTTATCTTTAACCTTCGCCCGGATGCAGGGGAGAGGGAGGTGGTTGACCACACCCTACCATTTTTTTGCGTATCCACTTGTCCACTCATCCAGCTCTGATCCGTAGCCTGCCGAAGAGTGCTTTCGGCGCCTACCAGTGGCGACATCTGAATCTGTTCATAAGAATAAATACAGAGATGACGCCACAGGCCTCACCAGCAGCAATCCAGCCCCATCATATCCCACCATCCGAAGAAACTAGCATGGCATGCATATTGATTAAGCAATGCAATAAGCCAATATGACGTCATAGGATTGAGAAGGGTGCTACCACGGATTTCTCACGATTGCTCGGCCGCGGATTGTTCGAAGCCCGTTGGAGGTTGAGAGCTGAAAGCTAGCATACCTATTGAGTTATTGACCTTTGACTCAAGTCGGGTCTTGTGACATCAAGCACATTTTCAGGCCTGGGCAGGTCATTGAACTTTGACTCTGACCTATATCTCTGGAAAAACGATATAAAATCATGGGCTCCGTCACATTCTCAAGGTTTTTTTGGGGGGGGGAATGACCCAAATATCCATCACTTTTAACATCAGCAGGCTTTACGGAAGCAAATTTATTTGAAAAGGAGTTTTGGACCCCAAGATGCCCCCCCCCTCCCCAATGACGGAGCCGTAAATTTGCACAGCTCTGGAGTCCTCACATCCTATTCATTTATAAATTTTATGCAAGGGCTAGGTACTTACATACCTACATGAGGACAATTCAGTCACTAGTCAGGTTACTTCACCATTTTACATCGATTGGTAATCCATGCTTTTTATTTAGTGGCCTAGTGCCTGTCGAACATCACTATTATTTTTTTCTTTGACTGATCTTTCACACGTGCAAAATGTGTCCATTAGAAGATCTAAAATTAGTGTATCAATATTTTCAATGCATTTCTTAGCATTCTGTGGGAAATCGTAACATTTAGCGAACAATTTTCGTTTATTTGTATCAGCTCTATGGAAGCCCTTTTTCCGGTTACCGCCGTTGACGGCGCTGGTGGTGGAACATGAAGGTAGTTATTGTCCTTGTTTTTACTATTATTTGTGCCATTTGTACTTTTTTAGTTTCTGTTTTCAATGTTTGTCGTTTAACGGTAGTTGACATGTTATTTGGCTTTGGAACTTTTATGAGAAGTGGTATAGTCTGCGCCCGCGCATGTTTCGTCGCAAATGTGCCACGTTCCCAGACCGTAGTTGGGATTTTATTGGATAATAGCTGTTTTCATCTGGTTGAATCAATGTATATCTATTATATCTTAACTAGATGCTTTAATATCAAGCCCCTAACATTTCAGGTTTTTGATACTCATGGCTGATCAATGCATACGACATTATTTCGTTTAACCCCCGCATCAAGCTGTCAAAATTTTGATGCCAAGCCAGGTTATGGGTGGTTGGTGAAAACAGGAAGTGAAAGGGTATGAGCTATGGCACATGGCTGTATCCAATCACGTGACCTTCAAGGGTAGGTTGTAGGGTAGGTTTGTAGGTTTTAGGTTTTTAGGTTGTAGGTTTGTAGGTTTGTAGGTTAGGTGAGGTTAGGTCAGGTAAGGTTAGGTTTGTTTAGGTTTTCCTAGAAAGAAGCACCTGTGGGTATGGCACCTCTCCTTGGTTGGAAAACCTTCGTGTGACGTCTACTAATACCGGAAGTTTTCCCTCCCTATGTCGTTCACGGCGCAAGTCAGAATCTTAGTCATAGTCACATGCTCTGCACAAGTGAATTGACTATGAATTGAATGTGAATTGAATGTTGTGAAATTTTCAAGAACCTTAATCAAATCTCCTGAGTTGCCCTGTTTTTACCATTCAGATTATGCAAGATCCATTAGAAAATTGCATTTTTGTGCTGTGATCTATCTGTGAAATTAAGCCTTTCTTGATGTTGTGAGTGCCCAAACCAGTAAGTGCAAGCCAGGGACCCCAATTTGGCTATCTCAGCATAAAACTTATGTTAAGGTGGGATAGTCACTTTAAG